GAGGGAAAGGGACAGGAGGTAAGTTTGTCAGGACGTGAGGTAGGGGGAAAGCAGAGTGCAAGGGTAGGGCAGGCGAGAGGTATATGATGGGCTTCGCAGAATTCTAAGCACTCACCGCTGGAATAGCACATGAGGTTCATTGGTGTTTGGGTTGCACAAGATTTTGAGTCAAGGAGCAGTCATTGCCTATGGTAAGTGACCATCCCTACAGACCGGACAGGACCGGTTCGGGTGTGGACTGTGGAAGCACCGCATCCAGTTTTCGCCGTCACAGTTGCTGCATCGAATGGCATGGCGCAGACAGATGTCACAGGCAACGTGGCTCCTACATGCTAGGAACACGGAGGCACGTCGACCACAATTATAGAGGCACTGCCGTTCTAGCCCCTGTCTACAAATTGGACATGACATGTCAGGGTGCCGTACATGAGTACAGTGCTGACTGTCGTCGTAGGTATGAAAGCAGAAACTCGCATGGACTATTCCTTCATAATCCTCACCGCACAARGCATGTGAACCACATGCAAGTCGAATCTCCGGCGGGTCATCACATAGCGGCATAGAGCATGTTTCCTGGGTTTCCTCAGTATTTATTCCTTCTGTATGGGCAGACGACGACAAGGAGGGTCGGTCCAAAGCAAGGGCGTTCAGCTGCTGCAGGATTTGGTCCACAACAGCTCACCGTGATGGTGATAAGCGATCAGTACCCAACTCTGAAGCTGGTTCATATAGAGGCCCTTTTCCTCCTCGGGCTGCTGTGTGTGTCGCACGTCTGGCAAGGAAGAGGAGAACCCTCTGCGGTTGCCGTAGGTGTATGACCAACACCGCATGTGGGACATGCTAGGAGAGGATGTGGTGGGTGATGGCACCGGGGATAGTCCACGCAGTAAAGACACATACTTTCTATGACTGCTTCCTGGAAGCACTGACGACACATGGCATGTTGCTAACATGTCATCAGTATGGAAGAATGACGTGCACAGTTATTTAAGCATGGCAGATCAAGGCCACAATGGCATGCTGGGCAAGTAATCAGGGGGTGGGGGGGATGAGCACAAGACAAGGGATCACAATTTTCGTGGGAGAGGCTAGCAGCGACCATCCCTTCATAATGTTCGGAGCAGAGGCTATGCCGTGTACACGCCAACTGAACTGTACCTGTGCCACTGCACAATGGGAGGGCACAGCCGCTATACTCTGGAGAGGTCCGTTCATTGTTTGTGGTAGGACCAACCAGATTGCTCTGCAGGGGCTGTAGTGCTTGCGAGTGGTGATCGACATACTGTTCCTGATGGACGAGCCAGACTGCGTTACCCTCCTCCATTTGGTGATAGAAAGAATTAACATTTCCTGTTGTGTGCATCCTGCCGCCGTTGTCCCATAGGGTCCATGAGTTATCTGCAAATGACCTGGACGATATAAGATATATGCCCGAATATTTGGATACATGCCTGGCACGTGGTTTTGAGGGGCAGGCTGGAATTGTAGTCGCCTACCCATAAATGCCATAGCCAGGACTTCTATGTTCACACCAGGTGCAGCACTGTCGTCCTCTAGGCATACGGCACGGTGCTCTTCTTCTATCCAGCGGACAACGTCTGCGAAATCAGCAACCTACTAAGGGTTACAATTGTAGGCAAGGAGACATGCATTGATGGCATAGTACGCACAGCGGCCTCGCTGTAGCGCTATGACATCGTTGGATTCCGCTGGTTGTGCTGGAGATTCGTTCACAGCAGGAGGAGATTCGTTCGATTCTGCAGATTGCACAGGTGGAGGAGACTCACCAATTGGCTCTAATATGCGCTCCGGAGAGAGACGATCTTCAATCCGGGGCTCCATCAGGTAGCCAGAAGACGGGTCAATGTCATTCGGGGCAGGGGAAGAAACGGGGCTAGTTGGATGAGAAAGGGGCGGGCCAGGGGGGTGAGAACTGGGTGGGTCAAATGCGGAAAGCGGAAGCTGATCAGCTGCACTTGTGCTCAGAGCGGCTGCCAGTCGTGCAAATGCTGCACAAGTAGATGCACCTCGTGTTTGGTGCACACGGAGGCCTGCAACGCTGAAGAAATCATCCCCACATTGCGGGCATCGGACTCGGCGTGTACTATTCCTGGCTACTGTGTATCGAAGGCGACGTTGTCGTTCCGAACGGTTGCGAGCATGTCGGCGGAGCAAATCTCTAATAGCCGTTGGAGGCGCGGTGCTCAAGCCGTTCACGGCTAGACGAGGCCGCTGTCTTGGGGACGGCGGTGGAGACGAAGAATGGACCCGCCGAAGAGGCATCTGCAATGGTTGGTCCAATGTCGTACGCGTCCGCCGACTGGGCCTTTGTCGTAGCTGATGTGTGTGTGTGTAAAAAAGTGGCAGCGGAAGATTCATTTCGTTTTTGCTCATCCTATCGATGGAGTGTGAGTGTGTGTGTGTGTGTGTGTGTGTGTGTGTGTGTGTGTG